ACTGGATGAATGAATGAGTGACATCATTGTATTTTTTTTCCTGCTGTATAGCGCATCGCACATCGCCACTCACTAGGCTACTGACTGGCTGCCATAAGCTACACACAAATAAAACATTAAGAAGTTCTAACAAATGCAAATTTAGGCCAACAGTAGAATCCACCACATGACAAAAGCAGACAAGAACTACTGTAGTTTGAGCGCTGTCCTTGGTGCTGAAGATGTCCCCGAGCCTGTTAGGTAGCAGTTATAACAAAATCACTTTAAGCGCTGTCCTTGGTGCTGAAGATGTAAAAATAAAACAAATGTCTATACTCCAAAACTCACTACTTCTGACATGACGAACCAAGACAGTGTACACAGATAAAAAACAACAGCAGAAAAACTGACCAACAGCAAGCGGCGATCACCATGGCCAAATGACGTCCCATATCTGTAATAAAGAAATAATAACAAGACAGCTGTTGGCAACTAGCTGTTGCTGCTGCAGCTACTATTAAACGTGACTGGAATTAATAAACAAGCAGTAAATGCACAGTGGGGGTTATCTGTTTTCTGTATCGGCGTGACGCGCTGTGTTAATTGAGTGAATCGTCCGAGCCGGACGCGTGTTAATTTGAGTTTGATTTAAATTAATTACACTAAAGTTGTTGCGTTAAACTAACCATATGAGTCCTTTTCGTTTTTATACAATTTATTGCTGCATTTTGAAAACAAAAAGAGTTAAGTTTTTTGGGGTTATGTTATATCAGGGGTTTCAGCTTGGCACCGTGAACTGTGCCTCCCGTGACCTGTAAAAGTAGCGTTGTGACATAAGCCTCAGTTTCTGTTGTTGGCGAATTGTTACAAGCTGATGAATTCGCTGGTCAAGGCAGACCAAACAGGTGAGATGACAGACAGATGGATGGTTTGTCTCTAACAAAATACTTTCTGTAGACGTGCTGCAAGAACGGATTAAAGCTTAATACATCTGCAGCCAGAGCGCATTACGCTGTCAATAGGCTTTATGTGTGGGGAATACCATGTTATCCAAATAAGGGCATGTACGTCACATATACCTAGCAGATGATGTGATTTCCCGTCAATGAGCAGGATCACTTAACCATCGCCCGTGAAGTTGTAACCGCGCTAGTCTTCTCCTTAAACGACGAGGACTAATCTGAATGCCTAACAGAAAGACACAATGCAATTTCTGCCTGTGTTAGACCTTGATTAAAGTACATCCTGATGCGTTGATCAATAATGTGATCTGCCATTTTCACCTCCCTGGGACACCAGTGGCAGCTCTTGTAGGCTGAAATCAGGACGATTACATTAACCAGCGCACAATCATCAGACTTATTTATTTATCACGAGAAAACAATCTTTGTTATCTCGAGATAACGAATTAATTAATTCGTTATCTCGAGATAACAGTGCACAAAAAAAAGAATAATACATGGCCGTTCTCGTCTTCCGTAACTTACAACACAGCTTCACTCACACAGATAACTGAGCCTCCTACCTGCCTGTCAAACAGCATCAACCCATTAACCTTCTTGATTCCAGACCTGAGTATCAAGATCTATTTTTAGCTGGTCATTGTCTCGTTTCTGTCATGGAAATAAAGGTTGTTGATAAAAAATTTCATCATAGTTTTTGTCAAAGAAATTAACACTGGCATCAGTTTGACACGCCATCCGTAACAACGTAATAGAAGGATCTGCAAAGTCCTTATAGGATGGATATGACGGGTGGTGGATGGCTCCAACAAACACTGTACTTTCACCTGGGAGCCCACTGTTTGCATCCTGTGGGAATGCTGAGCCAAACCATGATGGATTTTTTTCTAAACCTACATGCTTTTGTTGCACAAGGAAATAAACTTAGGCTAGTTGTTTTACTGACATTGTTAGTTTCATAATGCAGGATCATGCATATGCAGCATCACTGGAGACGCAATCCTCGTTGCCAAGAAAGTGCAAAAGGCAACATGACCAGTGAATTCAAAAAACGAGGGTCAACATCGGGGTAGCCTTTCCCAGGTGGAAAGAGCTGCTGAAGGAGAAAGGTAATGCAATCACAGCTAACAGCGCTAACAGCGGCTAACAGCGGCGCTGGTCGCTAACAGCTGTTAGCCGCTGTTAGTGGCGCTGTGTTAGCCGCTGTTAGCCGCTGTTAGCCGCTGTTAGTGGTACTGGCCACTAACAGCTGTTAGCGGCGCAGTGATGCGAGGAGAGGGATGAGGTGTGTGAGGTTGAGCCACTTGTCAGCTGTCAAAAGACATAATAGATTTGACTGAATTAATTATCGTTGCAATGTCTTCCTACACATGCTGTCTGTTCTCTGGTATTTGGGGATCAATCAATCAATCTGTTTTATTTATAAAGCCCAATATCACAAATCACAATTTGCCTCACAGGGCTTTACAGCATACGACATCCCTCTGTCCTTTGGACCCTCACAGCGGATAAGGAAAAACTCTTCCAGAACGGACAGATGTGCAATAGATGTTGTACAGAACAGATCAACATGATAAATTAACAGTAATCCGTATGACACAATGAGACAGAAAGAGAGACAGAGAGAGAGAGACAGAGAGACAGACAGAGAGAGAGAGACAGAGACAGAGAGAGAGAGAGATGCAGGACAGATGGTAATGACAGTAACTTACAACAACATTAATGAAAGTACTAATATTATAATTATAATTCCGGCTATTGTGGTACAATATGTTGAAAGTATGTATTAATATCTGGCAGTATACATATGTGACAATAATCAAATGTGTATAATAACAATAGAAGTATGACTAATAACAGCAGCAGCAGGAGGCATCTGGCAGGACCACGGCAGCAGCACAACCACACACGTCACGCTGTCCAGGCACCGCTGTGATATGAGTTAATCTGAGAGACAGTGGAGCACAAAGGCTCCGGAGAAGAAGCCGAGTTAGTGACATGAAGAATGGCCGAGTTAGCGAGATGCAGTAATAGAATACGAGAGAGAGAGAGAGAGAAGGAGAGAAGGTGAGAAGGTGCCCGGTGTATTATAGGGGGGTCCTCCAGCAGACTAGGCCTAAGTCAGCCTAACTAGGGGCTGGTACAGGGCAAGCCTGAGCCAGCCCTAACTATAAGCTTTATCAAAGAGGAAAGTCTTAAGTCTAGTCTTAAATGTGGAGACGGTGTCTGCCTCCCGGACCGTAACAGGAAGATGATTCCACAGGAGAGGAGCCTGATAGCTGAAGGCTCTGGCTCCTGATCTACTTTTGGAGACTTTAGGGACCACGAGTAACCCTGCGTTCTCAGAGCGCAGTGTTCTGGTGGGATAATATGGCACTATGAGCTCTCTAAGATATGACGGAGCTTGACCATTTAGAGCTTTATAAGTTAACAGTAGGATTTTAAATTCAATTCTGGATTTTACAGGGAGCCAGTGCAGAGAAGCTAAAACAGGAGAAATATGATCTCGTTTCTTAGTTCCTGTTAGTACACGTGCTGCTGCATTCTGAATTAGCTGGAGAGTTTTTAAGGACTTACTAGAGCTACCTGATAATAGAGAGTTACAGTAATCCAGCCTTGAGGTAACAAAAGCGTGGACCAATTTTTCTGCATCTTTTCGGGTCAGGATAGGCCTAATTTTCGCAATATTACGCAGATGAAAAAATGCAGTCCGTGAGGTTTGCTTTAAATGAGAATTAAAAGACAAATCTTGATCAAATATTACTCCGAGGTTTCTTACGGTAGTGCTAGAGGCCAGAGCAATGCCATCTAGAGAAACTATGTCATCAGATAAAGAGTCTCTGAGTTGTTTGGGGCCAAGAACAATAACTTCAGTTTTGTCTGAATTTAACATCAGGAAATTGGTGCTCATCCAAGTTTTTATGTCTTTAAGGCAGTTATGGAGTTTAGTTAATTGATTACTTTCTTCTGGCTTCATCGATAAATACAACTGTGTATCATCCGCATAACAATGGAAATTTACAGAGTGATTTCTAATGATGTTACCTAAAGGAAGCATATATAGAGTGAACAGGATTGGTCCAAGCACAGAACCTTGCGGAACTCCAAAACAAACTTGAGTATGTAGAGATGATTCATCATTAACATGAATGAACTAAAAATGATCAGAAAAACAGGATTTAAATCTGCTTAGTGCAGAACCTTTTAGGCCAATTAAGTGTTCTAGGTTTTCGCGAGGTTTTCCAGGTCGGATGTAAAAGACTAAGAACAAGGCTTTCAAAGGAATTATAATCTAGTTTAGGTTTAGGGCTGATTAACAGACTAAAAATGGCTGCAAGTCCCCCTCCTCGGCCGCTGCCTCGAGGAATGTGGGTATTATTATGACTGGGAGGAGTGGATTCATTTAGACTGACATATTCATCTTGACACAGCCAGGTTTCAGTGAGGCTGAGTAAATCAATATCATTATCTGATTTTAATTCATTTACTAACACTGCTTTAGATGTTAGAGACCTGATATTTAACAGTCCACATTTAATTCGCCTGTTTTGTCTTTCTGTCACAGAATAGGTTTTAATTTTTATTAGGTTGTTATACACAACTCCTCTTTGTTTAATTTTAGATTAAGATAATTTAGATGGTTGGGGGACAGACACCGTCTGTATAAAACTATGGGTGGGTAACTGCACTAGACGCTCAGAGAAGCGTGTAAGACTATGGCTCTGATTCCTGGTCTCAACTCTCGGTTGTCAGGCTTTTGAATTACTAATAAAATTGGCCAGGTGTCTAGATATGAGAGCAGCTCCATCCAAAGTGGGATGAATGCCATATCCTGATCAGGGATCAAATTCTCTTTGTGGTATGTACTTTCTATGATTGTATTCTTCCAGCAGTATAATCTTTTCCTCCTCTGATCAATATGGTTTTCTTTTCTTTTCTTATTTTCTTCTGCCATTTTTTCACTAACTATAAGCCAACTTTGTGAGACAATAACAGCCATCACAAGCAAGAGTCCAAGCAAACAAACAATCTCCATGGAAACTTTTGCCACTGTAAAATCTCTGTCAATGCAGTAAATTAATTAACGATTTTCCTTAATAAAGGAAACCTTTTAAGGGATTCTGTGCAACTGTGTGAATCCATCAGCTAAGGAGAAATAAAGCCTTAAGTGTCATACTTAAGGAGAAAACTTGTGTTGTGTTTTGTGCAACTGGTCCCAGGACCTTCCTCACACATATGAACTAATCTGAGTAAAATGATTTGTGTGTTCCCAGGAGTGTATATTATCAGTGGGTCCCTTCTGAATTCATATAAAATCTGACATTATAAGCAGATGATCTGTGTAACTAGATTAAGTGAAAATTCTGTGTGCGTGTCAGTTCTGCCAGTGTGGGTTGGTGCATCACTCACCTAGGGTGACCTCAGCCTGCATGGGCATGGACAGAGCTGGGTGGTTGACCTCACAGCTGAAGAGAGCCTCGTTATCCAGCTGAGGGTTGAGGCTCCAAGTCAGCATGGCTCTCACCTCCATGGTGCCATCACCTGCTGACTGCTGCCGGTGCTGGAAGTAGTAGAGCGGATCACTACTCTGGACCCAGCGGGGAAACTCCCTGCTCACCACTGTCTCAGGGATCACCTCAGTGGTTAGCTCAGGGTCCGACTCAAACCCTTGCTCTCCACCCTGTTCCAGGCCATCGGGGCCATGTTGGCCCAGCCGAGCCAGCTTCCCTTCTTGCTCCAGCAGGGACAGGGACTTTTGGAGTTTGGTGTCATCAAGGTCTCGACTGGTGAGAGCTCGGGAGCTCCAGAACCCTGCCTGGGTCCTGCTCCAGCTCTTTTCTAGACCTGGGCCCTTGCTTTGGTCTTCCACTGATGAGAAAAAGTGGGCAGTTGGCACCACATCAATAAGCTCGCCATCCCGCTTGAAGTACACCTGAAAGTTCAGAACAAAGGCAGGTGAGGTCAACAGGAACACAGACCTCCATTTAAGAAGACAGTTTGCTGTGTGCTCTTAGTTTTGTAGGAGGCAGGACAAGTTCTTACAAAGTCAAATGCTTTGTCACAATTGTAGTTGGTTGAAGGAAATGCAACAGGAATGTGTGATTGTTAAACCAACTGCAGGCCACAGTGTGCTGGAGAGAAGTGCCAACATTTACCTGTAAACAAGTTTATCTGGAGGCTGTTTCTTTGATAAATCTCAATTATTTATTATATCAGTAAACATTCCGGAAGAGGAGTTCTGATCAGAGTCACTGTTGTCATTTCAGAACACAAAGCCTTAAAGACATTTACGACTGCTGCGCCCTATTTCAGAAAGCAGGATTAGTGAAAACTCTTGAGTATGTTCAGTCTGAGATGAGGGAAACTCTGAGTTTTCCATTTCACAAAGCCAGCTCAGCGTAACCCTGAGTCAGTTACTATGGCAACTTACTCCGTGAAGCAAACCTGCTGGCTTGAAGGTTTGCTCCATCAAAGCCTGAGGCTAAGCGTGTAGCAGGAAGGAGAGACATAGCGTGTCCTTTAGTGAATGAAATTGTGGATGTTGGGGCACAGTTTATTCATGGACTGTTGCGTAAGGAGAAGGTGATTAGACCCCATTTGGATGTCTCCCCGGAGGAGGGACTAGGCTTATATGATCATTTATCTTAACAATCTGTTTCACCCAGATATATCAAATATTACACATCGTGGATTTGCATTATCATCGGAGCAAATGTTATGCATTGCCCTTTGTTTCTTTGGCAGCAGCAGTTTTCTTTACAATACCAGAGACACTGAGCACATCAGCGAGGCAACGGTTTGTCGGGCCATAAGAAAAGTGACTCTGGCTCTGAAAAGACATTTGCCTGTTTTTGTGGTTTTCCCTGGGCATAAATCAGAATTGATTATAAAATTAACTACCACGGAAAATCAGTGGCTAAGTGGATGGAAGGACGCCTCGTGATCTGACGCTCAATCCTTGATGCACTGGCCGCGAGTTCAAACCCTGTCTGCAGCCTCCTGCGCATGTCGTTCCCTCTCTCGCCTTAACGTTATGCAAAACGCTGTTTTGTCATTAAAGGCAACAAAAGCCCAAGAAATAATCTTTTAAAAAAAGAAGAATTTCACAGAACTGCAGGTTTGTCAGTGTTTAAAAGAAATTTATCTACGCGGATACATTATGCAATGATTCATTCATACTTTTCATATATTCAAAGATTCTGTGGTGTAATTGGCTCATTTATGGGACTCAACATCACATAATAGTTCCATCTGAGCATAAAGGAGATTACGTGAATTGAAAGTCATTTCACGGGAATTCAGCAGTATAATTAACCTCAGCCTTATATTGCAGGAATTCAGAAAGTATAAGCAAAACATTTACCAGTCTGTATAATATCTTTGTGTTTGATTTTGAGTTGCTGCCCCATGCATCTGGGCTCCATCAGATTACAGCTGAATAAGAGGCTATAGCAAATAATATTAAAATATATGAACACTTAAGATATAAAAAATGTTTCTATATTGTCTGTAGATTACACACAGATTAACACATCACATTACATTACATTATTTCATATTACCTATTTACTCTGCAGTCTTTCCCATCACACCTCACGCTGTTTAGCTGCAGCTGCCGTAATAGATTTTTTTTCATGTCTTCATTCACGGTCATTAAAATCTCCGATTCAGTTGGGATGAAATAAGTGGCTTTCTGCTTTCTGCCACTGAAAATCACGTTTTCTGCACTCCATTGACGATGTCATTTGGTGCTCGCCGTGAACGCGCTTCCCTCAGGCTGAACATACTCAGAGTTCATTGAGCTGATTCTGATCAGCTGGAACCGAAAACTCAGAGTTTCTCAGCACAGGCTCAGTCAACCCGGAGATCGGGATCAGGCTCAGAGTTTGTTGAACCTGCTTTCTGAAATAGGGCCCTGGTGAACAAGCTTTATGTATATTACGTAGGGTTGGAAACTATGAACGAATGAGCCGATTCAAATCATTCTGATCTCTTTAAAAGATTTTGGTCACTGTTTGTGTACTGTGCAAAGCAACCATGTAGAACTGAAAGAAGAAGACTTGGGGGATGAGGACAAGAACACCAGGAACCACATTCCACACTAAATGTTTGCATACATACAAATGAGAAAATGTGCGTATGCAAAAAAACAAAACAAAAAAACCCAACTGATTTATAAAACCATGTGTACACCTACCACTATGCAGTTTCATTTTATATATTCCAAATCAACTTGGAATAGTCTGCATGTGGACCAGCTTCATATCCCGCCCTCTACACACCTACATGTGGTAAATCACAGCAACGACTGAGAGGAAAACCAAGAAAAGGAATATTTTTGACGCAGATATTGAGATGTTTGTGAGTGAGCTGGAGGTTAGAAAGCCTAGTGTTTGGTGGGCAGTGGGGTTACAAAGAAAAGAAAAAGATAAAGAAAAGGCAGCAAGTGGGAACATATTGCTGCTGCTTTTAATACAGTGAGTTCATCAAACAGGACACTACCTGACATTAAAAAAAGAAATGTGCTGGGTGAGAAGCAGAGTATTGCAGTGTCTCCAGTGCGCTCTGTGTGCCTGATAACACTTTTGTGTTCCCTGCAGCCATTTTACACACAAAACTATCTGAAAGCTAAAATGGTACTTAGTGATGTATGCACAGCCATCAGACTCAATTGAAATTAAAGGTGCAAACAGCGATGAACAGGACCTCGGACTCTCACTGTCGGCCTCCAGCTCACGTAGACAGTGTGAATTAGCCTATTCGTAAGAGCTGAAATGTGGATAAAACAAACAATGTCAGTAGAACGTAAGGTCATTTTTGGCAATGAACCCATGACTTGGGAGTGAAACTTTGATGGCTTCTGAAAATCAAACTACTGACAAACATCAATCAATCAATCAATCAATCAATCAATCAATCAATCAATTTTATGTATAAAGTCCACTATCACAAATCACAATTTGCCTCACAGGGCTTTACAGCATACAACATCCCTCTGTCCTTAGGACCCTCGCAGAAGATAAGGAAAAGCTACCTTTAACAGGGGAAAAAACGGTAGAAACCTCAGGAAGAGCAACTGAGGAGGGATCCCTCTTCCAGGACGACAGACGTGCAACAGATGACGTACAGAACAGATCAACATAATACATTAACAGTAATCTGTATGACACAATGAGACAGAAGGGGAGACAGAGACAGAGAGAGACAGAGAGAGAGACAAAGACAGAGAGAGAGACAGAGACAGAGAGAGAGACAGAGAGAGAGAAAGATGCAGGACAGACGATAATGTTAACAGCTTACAACAACATTAATGAAAGTAATAATATTATAATTACAATTCTGGCTACTGTGGTACAATTTGTTGAAAGTATATATTAATATCTGATAGTGTACATATGTGTATATTGTATGTGTATAATAACAGTAGAAGTATGACTAATGATAACAGCAGCAGCAGGAGGCATTTGGCAGGACCACTGCAGCAGCACAAGCACACACGTCACACTATGCAGGCACCGATGTGACAGAAGTTAACTTGCGAGACAGTGGAGCACAAAGGCTCTTGGGCCTCATTTATAAAGCTTGCTTATGCACAAAACGGGGCTTGAAAGTGGCGTATGCCACTTACCACGCAAAGGTTGTGATTTATAAAGATAAACTTGGTGGGAGAATGTGCACACCTGTAAGCAAACTCTGAGTCATGCGTGCACACATTTTGGAGACACTGGGAAGTGGCGATGCAGACGGCGAGGTGGAGAAGTGGAGTCAGATTTTTATTGATGTCTCACACAAATTTAATGTCACGCTATATCCACCTTAGATCCACGTTATCATTGAAATTAAATCCAGCAGCCTTATTTTGCGCTTGGAGTGAGTGATAATTGTTTCATAAAAACGTTGTAAAATCCAACTCAAATCCTGAATTGAAATTCTTTCTTAATACGTATTTAATCCACACTGCCTCTAACGTCTCATTGTCCACTCTGTGAGCGCAGGAGGGGGAGAGGACGGCGCGACTGCATGGAATATATTTATTTATTTAGCTAAATATTTCCAGTGCATTTATCATGTCTCGAAATACAGCCATTAAGCCCAACCGTTACACTCATTTCATCAGCCCTACTTAGACATGTGCTGTTCATGACGAAACTGGCATGAAGGAACGTGTTCGCCTATTACACTTTCATCTTTGAATTGTATTTCAAATTACACGTTGTATTTTGGGACAGGGATACCACTGGTTCATGCTGTAATTCAGGCCGGGTGTCTGATCAGACTAATTGCCATAAACATGTAGATACTGCGGTGACCCTCGTGCGTAATTGCGCAAGATGGCACATACTCCTTTTTGCCTCCACCTTTAATAAATGTCACACATCAATGTCAAACATCCTCAAATTTAAAAGCAACACATTAACTACATGTTGGTAAAGGAGTAGAAATATTTGGTCTACCTTTAGATCAGACCTTTTTTTTTTTCTCTGTCACTGTCCGTGCAGTCCCACAGACACAGCTCACAGCATCAGCAACGTTGATGTGTTGCCACTTTTTTGCTTTCTTTTATTAGTGATCCCGCTGCTGTGGCCACCAAATAAAATCTTTCTTCAGTCCTCTACCTCCCGTTAAAGGGTCTCTAGCTCAGTCTCAGAGAAATTCCGTTTTTTGGTTCGTTTCTCACACCTGTCGCGTGATCGCATTCATGAGGTGATTTGCATGACCATTTATGGTTGAACTAGGGCATGTAGAGGGCAGAATATGAGGCGGATCTGGGTGCGCACAACTCCAGGAGGTCTGTGATTTATAAAGAGAAAAATGAGTGCAAGTGTGCGTGCGCACGGTTTTATAAATCAGATTATTTTTTAGCGCATGCCATTTTCAGCTTTTGGGCGCACGTCGACTTTTAGTATGAATCCTAAGCACTCTTTTATAAAT